CGGGCTCAGGCAATCCACTCACCTCGGCCTCCCAAAGCGCGGGATTACAGGCTGAGCCAGAGAGCCCAGCTAAACAGTTTATTATTTACCATGAGATATAAAAAAGCAAGTTGCAAGACTAAATAAACAGCATGATCAGAATTTTGTAAAATATATAAATATACCGGGGTGTCAAAAAATGCATACACATTCACTCAAAAGATGGATTAATCAAATGAATGCCAGTGTCACCATGCAACAGGCAGGACAGTAGAATTGGCCAGTACAACCATCTATCAAGTGTGACTTATTGTAATGTATTAAGTATTACAATTTTTAATAGTTTTTTCCTTTCTTAAAATGTGTACACATATTTTGGCATCCTCCGTACATGCAGAAAAATAAAACTAAAATACACCAAACGGTTGATAGAGTTGATTGCTGAGTAGCATGACTACAGGTTTAATTTCCTTCACTTGTTTGTATTTTGCAGACTTATTTTCCAATTACTTTGTGGCAAATTTATACCTATATAAGTCGTAAATTACAGATGGCAGGGGCTGGTATACTTTACAATATATATATTTTAAAAACTGTCTTATCTTCTGAACGTCATCACAAATTCCTCAAAGGCAAGGACTGTATTGGTTTCCAGAAAGCCCCTCTTTCAGAAGTCTTTTGGTTAATAAGTATTCAACGATGCTGCTGATAATTGATTCAATTTTTCTCCTAACACGTTCTCTTTTTTGCTTCTAGCTGCCTTAGAAAAAGTCTTTCTTCTCATCAGACAGGCCTAGAAACACTTCTGTCCCTCTTTTAATCTTTTTTGGGGGGATCTGTTTAAAGAGATAGGGAGACGGTTAAAAACTCCTCTAGGCCCGTCTCATGAGATCCTTCTCCCAGGCCAACAACTTGGCAATTAGTACAGGTGTTGTCCTTTGGGATCAGGTCTCCAGCGGTTCTCATTAGCATTCTTCTCTTAAATAATTACCGAAGACGTTGGCAAAAATGTCTTTTTTGTCCCCTTCCTAGGATAGAGGCAAACAAAACGGGACGGCCCGAGCTGGTCGATGATGCTTCTTTATTCAGGATGGATTGCGGAGAAATAGGCGCACACCTACCGGGG